GTCACTTCGCTCCCCTGAGTCTTCCGCTGCGTTTCTTTGAGTTGGGCGGTGTGATACTCCACTACCTCTCCCCTTCCTTCTGTGCATGTATGGGCGTGTACGGGAGTTCCTGTGAGTGAGTGCTGAGAATCGAATAAATCGGAAAAAAGCGCACCAGAGAATCATGTTCATAACACATTATTGACTTGCCGGGGGAATAGGAACCAGACTGACGCTCCCCAGAATGGACATGGAGCCAGGACCTTAAGGACCTGTTTTAAACCAAAATAATAAATAAATAAATAAATAAATAAATAAATAAAAAAGAAGGAATACGGCAAACAGCACAGGGGAGTAAAACGAGAGGTGCAGCAGACCGCGTCAAAACACACAACATATTGAAAAACCTCAGAAAAGATGTCCGTATCTGGGTTAGGCCTACGCCCGGTGCAGACGGACCGGGGGGGGTCCGTCTGACGAAACCAGACGAGCCAAAAGAGTTGAAAAAACGTTCAAGGATTTTTTTTTATTTTTTTTTTGAAGATGGGGCTGTACTGCGCTCGCTGAGAGGAGCCCAAATCTGCCGAGAAACAGTGAAACTTGTGAAAGACGTGTGTTGAGGGGGTGGCTGGGCCGGGGGCGGCGGGGGGGGAGAAGGGGGGAGGGGGAGGTTTGACAGGTTTTTAAAACGGTGTGTTGCAGCAGCCAGTCCGCTGAGGGGAGGGGTTAGTGGAGGTGCTCGTAACTTTTCCTTTGTCTGCTGCCGTTTTGCCTCTCGTCCTTCCAGACCCGCCACTGCCACCGCCCGCCATAGTGTCATGGAAGTAGAGGATGCAAGGACCAACAGCGAGGGAAAAAAGAGAGTACAAATATCGGAAGAAGAAGAAGACGAAGAAGGAGAAGAAGTAGAAGGAGAAGAAGAAGAAGAAGAAGTAGAAGAAGAAGGGAAGAAGAAGAAGAAGAAGCTGCTGTCTGCCCATACAATATCGGCAGGAAGGGGAAAAAAAAAACCAACGGGAGATAGCGGCCAGTACGATATGGCGGGCGGTACAATATGGCTTGCGGATATGGAGATGGTGGGCGGTAAGATATGAAGGAGGAGGAGGAGGACGAGGAGGGAAGAAGAAGACGAAAGGAGGAGACGGACGAGGAGGGAAGAAGAAGACGAAAGGAGGAGGAGACAGATGAGGAGGGAAGAAGAAGACGAAAGGAGGAGGAGGAGGAAGAAGAGGAGGAGGGAAGGAGGAGGGAAGGAGGAGGAGGGGAGGAGGAGGGAAGGAGGAGGAGGAGGAGGAAAAAGATGGAGACTTGAAAAACGAAACAGACGATAGGAGGAGGAGGAGGAGGAGGAGGAGGAGGAGGGAAGAACAAGGAGGAAGAGGAGGAGTAGGAGGAAGAAGAAGAAGATCAAAAAAGGAGGGAGAAGCAGATGAGGAGGAGGAGGAGGAGGAGGAGGTGACGAAGAAGAAGAAGACAACGAGTGGAAGTGGAGGAGGAGGGGAGGAAAGAGGAGAGGAAAGGAGGAGGAGAAAAAAGATAGAGACTTGAAAAACGAACAGAGGAAAATTTTTCGAGATGCCCCTGAAATTTCCATTTTGCCGCGTGCCCCTCTGAACGCTGATTACCCTGTCGTGCCCCTGGGGCCTCTGAAGTTTTCTGCAGGCCCCTGTCAGCATGGGGCACAACTTTCCACTATGCCCTTACCGGACCGCGGATGGCTTTTCGTCGGTACCTCCTCGAAATGCCCTCACAAGGGGCATGCATCTTTCTGTGACGCCCTTGCAGCAGGCCACCGAAAATGGTGCAGCAGTCAGTCCCTTCAGGTTCGCTGGTTGGAGTTGCTGCGGTGCGAAGGTGAGCGCGCGTGTGTGTGTGTGTGTGTGTGTGTGTGTGTGTGTGTGTGTGTGTGTG